CAAAACGGAGCGTGCTGCTCTGACCGGCTTTAAAGGGTTAAAGATCATTTTTTGAGTTAGACCACTTTGAGCCGTGTCTTTCTTTGCCGTTAAAGAATACAAAGAACGCAATTTAATAATAGACACTACTCGACTCGGATCGACTGGTTTGCCATTACAACCCTTGTACCTTGTTTGCGTGCTCGTGGTCATAGCAACGCGTACAGTAGTTTAAATCTGTGCTCTCTGTCATTCTCCCTTTCAGACTCCTCCCCATAAAACTAATATATCTCATTTTAGTGCAAAAGGAAACTAGCTCTACCTGACAGGAGTCAATTCCACCATCCAGGTATCCTGCACAGATCATCCAGGAGGAGATTAAGCCCTTGTAAACCTCTGGTTTGTTGCAGTTCTGGTTGGAGATAAGTGGTACCTCAGCTGAGCGCAGAACAACACTAGTGTCTCCTGTTAAAAAGAAGAATTTCAACCATATAAATGTGGCCCCATCCCCACAAAAACACCCTAAACAACACCTAACTAAACAGAATACAAAATAAGCTTTAGATGTCTACACTCACCCTCTTCCTCTGTTGCACCCCAACCAGAGATCCAGCACAAGGTGCCCTCCTTAAACTCCTCTCCATGGCTGGGCAGGCAGATGGGCTGCACAGAGCCTGCAGGGAAAAGTGTTACTGATACATGTCAGACTTATTCATACAGTCTGATCTATGGGACTCCAAGGTCAGGAAGAAAATATCCTAGGAGAGAAAGTAAAGCAGAAGGGAGGGAAGAGAGTGAAAGATCCCTAAACAGGACTGAAAGGAAGGTTATCTGATAGCTGTCACGTATTTTAAGTTTGCCAGACACGGAACGATCTTTGATGCAGTGCACTATGCAGTTTATAGGTCTAAAAGTACAATACGGGAAAAAAATAAGGCCGTCAATAATTTAGATTTACCAGTGAACAGAGAACGTACACCAACTCATGGGGCAACTGGTGTTCAGTGTGCAATCACTGTTGGGAACCCATTTGAAGTGGGATGTGTTCTGATGTGTGCTTTTATATGTAGTAAAATCTATACTATAAGGATGCATTTACTGTTGTATGTAGTGAAATGTATTTCCATAGCCATGCTCATTGTTCGCTTTCAGTATGTGCTGAAGACATTCTAACAAAGACGCACTTACAGGAATATGAAGTAAAGTAAACTACAAAGAACGTGAATAACAAAAGTAGTAAATCTGCCTGGTCTGGGGATTGAACTGCATCCTGTGAGTCTGCCGATGAAGACACCTGGAACACTTTAGCTTTGGCTATAAATAATGAGTGTTAGGGAGTGTTGTCAAGGAAAAAAGTTGTAGCGAATGAGATGTTGAAGGATACTAATACCATTAACTTTAAGTGGCTTGGCCAGTTTCATCAGTGCGATGTCATAGTCGAGTCCTTTTGGTCGGTAACGATTATGGTATACGATTTTCTCAACAGCCAAAGCCTTGGCCCCGTGAAGCGGCTGCTCTGTCAGTCCCACATAGACTGCCCACATGGAGGAGTTTACAAACCTGAGCACAAA